ACGGTCTGCATTTTGGAGGAAAGTCACCATGTGCCACCCATGGGTAAGGAGCGAGGGTTCGTGTTCTGCCTCCTGGGGCACAGCATTTACATAAATCATTTGAGATTCTGCACAGGAGCTTCGTCCTCCCCGTTTATTAATTGGTGCAGCCACCAGTGTCAGGATGGACTCGTGGGTGTTTATCTTATACTTCGGGTTATAATCCTGTGCTTCCTTTTGTCGCTCACACTGTCCCGGCCTTGGCCACTGGGAGCTCTTTCAGGGGCTCCTGCGTTCCTTTGACACGGCCTTGTCATTTTATTCCCTTGCTTGCTGGCACCACAGAGCGCTCCAGGCTCATCTCATATTTCCTGCCTCTGCCCTTGAACTGGCCATTCCTTTCGTGGGAGGAGATTAGAGATCGAGAGCTGGGTGCTCGGCGTGCGCCATGCTGCCGAGTTGGGAGACATTTTTAAGTCGCGATCCAGCGGTTCTTGCAGCGGAGAGCTCCCCACCCAAGTCGTGCAGCTTAGTGACGGCAGACGTGCTCCCCGGGTGCAGTGTTCGCGGGCGGACTGCCATCCTCCGACACCCAGGGACACGGGGGGCATGCCGCCGCTTATGCGCCGCTTTTCTATTTCGGGGTCCTGGAAGCCTTGCGGGAGCTGCCCCAGAGGCCACGTGCGCATAGACCCGCGCCCTGAGCCATGCGTGGGGCTCAGGTTGGGAGGAACCGGCCCGCGGAGCCCCGCGCGAGTTTCTGCTGGGGAGGGGGACGCCGCAGGCCGTGTCCTCCACGAGGCCGGCCTCCCGCTCAGTGCCACCTGTTCTCATTCATGACCTGGGACGAGGGAGTCGCGTTGCGGTCGTCTCTGTGCCTCCCCCCAGGCCGTGGGTGGCGCATCACCCCCCTCTCCTGTCACAGTGTCTGGCACACAGTGGACATTCGATGACTCAATCACGTGTATGACGAAGCACGCAGGAGAAATGAGCAGGGTCTGGGCCACAACCGTGGCCCCTGACCGAACCCGCTTCTGCTTTATGGGGTGACATCTGGCCGCTGAGCAGCCTGCGCTGGACGCCCCGGTGCAGGGAGCGGGGGACCCTCAGCGGTGGGCCGCCTCAAGGAGAGAATCGACCCTCCCCCCACCCCGCCCCACAATTAGCACCCTCCAACGTGGTGGGAGCCGCCCCCCCTCCACCGCTGAGGCTGGGACCTGCCTGCTGATGGCTGTTCCGATTACCGGGGCCCGCCCCTGCCCCGACCTCCGCGATAACAGAGCTTTATTAGCAGGAAGGTCTGCTTTTCCAATCGCCATTGCCTTTTATTACTTCTCAGGGGCTTTATCTCAGCGGCCACCTCGCCTCCCGGCTAAATGAGGATTAATATTTTAACAGGATTATGTGCCGGGTGAGCTGTGCTCTCTGGGGGATGCTGGTGACTCCCCTCCCTTCCAGCCTCTCCCCTCTCAGCCTCCTTCTGGGCGTGCAGGCAGGTAGGGTTCCGGGGCCCTCTTGTTCCAGACCCCGGGGTGGGAGGCTGGTGGGGGTGGTTTGTCTTGAGCAAGTGTGTCCTAGGGTAGGGACGGCCCTGCATGGGGAGGTCCCGTAGAGAAGGCAGACCTTCCCGGGGTCAGCGGGCTTGACCATCACTGGGAGGAAAGGAGGAACATGGAGCTGGGGACTGGGGAGTGGGGGGAGGAGAGGGAGGGAGGGGGAAATAGAGAGGACAGGGTGGGGACAGCTTTTCGAATGCCCACTTGGCCCAGCATCTCAGCCCCCTGAGTGACACGACCTCTAAATTTGCCGGCATCAGACCCTGATCTTTC